AACCTACCTACTTCGGTGGTACGTCTCGTCGTCGTACGTAGTAAGTTAAATTAGTATAGTAGTAGTACTCGTTAGTACGTACGTACGTAACTACCTACCTCCTCCTCCTCCTCCCTCCCTCCTCCCTCCCTCTCTCTCTCTCTCTCTCTCTCTCTCTCTCTTTTTGACTTAAATTTTATTTTCGTGGGTGGGGGTGGGGGTCGGCTTGAGGATTGAGTATGTATACTAGCTGGGAGAATGGGTTGCAAATAAAGGCAGACTAGTTAGAGGCATAAACATAAAAAGGAAATGCCAGAATTACCCATTAAGAAAAGTGATAACTGTGAAATAGGGCATGATAAAAGAGTTCCCTCCATACAAGGTGCCATCCAAGGTGGCATTTGATCGATGATGCCAAACCTGGTACCGAGATTGGCCATTAGAGTTTAACATGGGCATTTCCATTTAATTTGCTTGCTCAATAACATGGTAGAACAAAATGTCGATGCTGTCTCAATAGGATTTCGATTCTTTGTTAATCTCATTTCTCACGTGAATTATGAACCTTTTAATGATGGTAGGTATTCTACAACAGTGTTTGGGACTTGCTCAAGACCGCTCAGACTCAAGCGAGTCACTTAGACTTTCCCTATTGGCGAGTCCAACTAGCCCCGAGTTGTGTGTACAACTTGGGCCATATAAATAGAAAATAAAAATCTAAAAAAATTGTAAAAAAATTATAAATGTTGTAAAAAAAATTATATGATTTTGATATTTTGGAAAAGCATGGTGAGTGTTTTGTGCCATAATCCGTATTTTTATATTTTCGATTTTTTTTATTTTTTAAGTGTCCCAAATTGTAAATCAATTTTTTTAATTACATTTTTCTCTAATTTTTAAAGCTTATTTTAAATTTTAATTTTGTTTTTTTTAATTATTATTCTTTCTATCTTTTTATTTTTTCAGATTTTTCGCTCTTTTTTTAAGGGCCTTTTGGCCTTGTGCAGGACTTGGATGAGTCACTTGGACTCACCCGAGTAACTCGGCTTGGCCAAGGGACAGAACCATGTTATACAAGTTTGTGTAGTTGAACAGAATCTGTTCTATAGGTTGTACATCCGTTTCCATTGGCACAATGGAGACGTGGACAACAATCTAGAAGATGATACAATGCCATGTGGCCAGAGAGTGAATACTGGCTCTGGGCCCCATGGGACTCCATTCAGTCCTAGATGATCGCTCCCATCAACCAATGGCTGATGAGATGGCCATGTGTCAGTCTGACAGATCAAAATCTTTACTTACCCAAAAAAAAAGAACAGTAATAATTCAAAATTTTGACTGATCATAAAAGAGTTTTAGGTCATCAAGACCCATTTGGCAGCGTATAGTATCCAAGATTTGAGTATTGAACATGTACATTAATTGGATGACTTGCAGAGATTTTGGTATTGAACATGTACATTAATTGAATGACTTGCGGAAGTGGCTATTTAAGACAATTTTCTCACTGTTGGCCCTCTAGTTTGGAATTTGTTGGAGTTTTCATCAAGGGGGAAAGCTTTTGGATGGTACAGTGAACAGATTCCTTTAGATCACTAAAAGAAAACAACAAAGAAAAAAAACAGATTCTTTTAGATCTCAATCAAGAAGACAGCCGTAGGTTCATAAAGAGTGATTTGTCCCACTTAATATTACAGAATTAACTTGGGCAGTTCCTGCAATGAAGGCAAGGAATGGTGTCATGGAAATAGGGTTTTGGAGGAGTTGGATAAAATTCATAGTTGGTGCAAGAAGGCTACATGCAAGAGAAACAGAAAAAAGGAGGTCAGCAAAAAATAGGATTTTTCTTTTTTGATGAAAGACTCTTACTTTATTTGTCTTCTTTCTTATAATGATTTCATCGAGGGAAGCCCTTGACTTAAGCCTAACTAATTTGATCTTCTGATGTTCATATTTAGAATGAGAGAGTTTGGATACCATGTCAATATATATAAATTTGAGCAAAGAAAATGATGAGTGTTCAAACGGAAGGTCTTAGTCATGGTATAAAATGCAGCAGCTGATACAAATTCAGAGACATTGTTAGTACTGAGTGATACTCACAAATCTAATAACAAATAAAAAACCTGAAAAACCCTTCATGGTTTTAAATGCACACTTTGTGACTGCTATGTTTGAGCCGATGTTTGATTCTAGACTATGACAGCTTCTCTCTCTCTCTCTCTATGTTCAATGTATCACATTATACACTTGATGGGAAATAGGATTCTCAACATGATTTAAGTCAATTTTTTGCTTTCAATAAATTACATTCATGCATTTCAATTTGTTTAATTTCTACAGATGTCTAATGCTGGAGGCCGGCTTGTTATCGCAAGTGATGGTGTTTGGGATGCTTTGAGTCCTGAGAGAGTTTTGAGTTGTTGTCGTGGTTTGCCAGCTGAAATTGCAGCCAAGCAAATTGTCGATGTACTAATCTGCCAAATGCTATTTTTCAGAATGCAGTTTTATTGTGACTGACTGGTTGTCCATTTAGTAATCCTTTCCATTTTAATTGCAGGAAGCTTTAAAGGGAAAGGGACTTCGAGATGATACTACTTGTATTGTTACTGATTTATTACCACCTGAGAAGATACACCCTATGCCTCCTCCAAAGAAGCTGGGGAAAGGGAAGTTCAAAGGTATGTTCAGAAGAAAGTCCAGTGAATCATCATCTCATTCAGATAAAGAATATTGTGAGGTAGATTTGGTGGAGGAGATATATGAGGAAGGGTCTGCAATGCTAGCTGAAAGGTTTGTCCTATGACCAAGTGTATTTTTTGTTGTTGGCATTGCATAAAATTTTAGCCATGGTTGATTGTGTATTGTGTAATGTAATACTGAATTTCTTTGTCATTCTAAAAATCCGACTTCATCTGAGGTAGGGGTGCTCAAGGTTGCCATTATGGCCTGATTAGCCCCAAGGTTTCTGGCTTAGATATCTTCAAAGAAAGATGCCATCGCTAACTACAACATTCTTCCGTACTGTTGAAATGAACAATTCTTTGTCCATACCAGCCTAGACTCTAGATTCCAAAGTTCTGTTCTATCCATACCATTCAAGAAACAAAGTGAAACCACAGTTCCCAGCCATCCAAGGCACCTACTTTCTCCACATCAATTAGAGAGAGAGGGAGAGGGAGAGAGAGGTCTGGTTGCGGTCATCCTTCCGAGAGAGAGATGTCTCGAGAGAGAGAGATCTGGTTGCGGTTGTCCTTCCGAGATGTCTGGGGGGAGAGAGAGAGGTCTGGTCGTGGTCGTCCTTCCGCGAGAGAGAGAGAGAGAGAGAGAGAGAGAGAGAGAGAGAGAGAGAGTA